TAGCTGAAACCCACACTTCTCCTCCCTTGGCTCCGCACAGGCTGTCTGGCCAGCGGTCACATGCACAGAGGGATAACCTCCATACAAACAGCATTCTTCTCTCTGAACATCCTCAGTCACAGTAAAGGTATGGTGCAGGATATCAATTGCTATCTCCGTTTCTACCAGTATCACTTGCGAGCAAGATAAAAGCAGGAGATGCCCGATGGCTCTGTGATACAGAGAAGGGTTTTCTGTGCCCTKCACTACGGCCTCACGCAATCCTCACAGGAAGCAAATTCCTTTTCACTTGAGTTCAACAGGAAGAGTTCGGGGTCCTTTTGTTGGTGCTTTGTTTCATCATTATCATTTTGGCCACGTTTCAAAATGTGGTATTGCTTAGAGATGGACTCTCATAATTCACGGCCCACAGATCCAGCCTCTGGCTTTGGCTCCTGCATTCAAAGGCAGTGCTAAGTGTGTCCAGAGAGTTAATGTGTTTGAATGTGGAGTTTTCAGGGCTTTTCAGGAGCCTCTCAATCTCTATTTTTTAGGCCATTTCGCCAGTGAAACACCACTGAAACCTAGAGCACAGTGGAAGGAGAGGAAAGGGACTCTAACTGCAGATTTATTATTTATTGTCATGTCTTAACAGTCTGTTTTTATGGAGGTGTTTAGAGTCTTGTAGCGGTCTTCTCTCCTTTGCTGGTGAAATTAAGCACTGAGCCGCAAGGAGTCACGAAACTTTTATGGCAAAAGCCATAAAATGCTGCAGCAAGAAAGGGAAATTAACTGTAGCTAGTTGGTTTCTCTACAAAAGGAAGCTTTAAGCTGGTGCACACGTGGGCACGCACACCCACATCCAAAGATATGCTGTAGCCCTGCAATCTATCCACATGTAATGTGGGCAGGGTCCCTCCTAGGCACCAAACCCTATTCCTAAAAGAAACATGAGAAAAAAATCCTCAGCAAGAGCTCAGTTATGGGCCATTACAGGGGCAGGAACCAATAATCAATACACATAGAGGACGGGGCAAAGGCAGAAATCTGCCCTCATGCCCGCTGCATGGAGTGCTAACAGTGCCGGGCCTCCCTGGGTAAATGTAAGCAGAGCCTGGTCTCTTGCCTTGTTCTTGGCTCGCAGCTGACAGGATCCTGCACCTGGACGCAGCAGCAAAGCTGCAACTCCGAAATAATGCAGCCAAATTTTGCACTGGGAATTAGTTTAATTAATGCCCCCAGACATCCGTATGAAACTGGGGAAAACTGCTACTAAGCAGAGCAGAAGAGCAGTAAAGYGCTACGTAGCACTTCTCACCTACGGATCCCCCTGTTTTTTCTGCTCTTTCACAATGCCATTGTCTAGTTTATGAGCTGGTAAGCAGGGAGCACGGAGCTTACACGAGTCGCCCAAGGTGGTACAGGCGGCCTGCAGCACGAGGAGCACACAGCACAGCTCTGGCAGGCCCTCATCTGCCTCCCTGCCGGCATCTCTCCTACCTGTTGTGTCCCCGGAATACCAATAGGGCTTTGTTTAAATGGCGTTAAGCCTGAATGCTCTCCCTGATCACACAAAAGAGCAAGTCCTGTAGAAGCTCGCTTGTCATCCACACTAGGCCATTGTGCTTGAAATCCCTGAGGTATTAAAAGATAATATATAATCGATGCTAGTGGTTACCACACAGACCATGCCCTGGCACTTCAGAGTCGTGCTCAAGCCAGCACGGCCTACCTGAGYGAGAGACTGGGCCCACAGCCAGGCACAGGCTGAGGTGCTGATCCCTTATGGAGGGGGAAGGCTGRGGCGGGAGCAGAGCCAGCAGAGCTTGCATGGAGACACAGGCAGGGCTGGGAGGGAGAGCCTGTCCCACTGCTGGACAAGGGAAAGGGCTAGAGTGTCCATGGCGTGAGGAGCCAAGGAGTCCACCCTTTAGTCCTGGATCCCGATTCCAGGCTTTGGGCAAGCCCGCAAGGCCCTCTGCCTTGATTTCTSCACCTGCACCATGGGGTCAATAAGGTGGGTTAAGGAGCAGCCGAGCAGCTGTACGAAGCTCTGAAATGCACAGCAGTAGATGAGGGCTCTGTTAGCTCTGTTTCTGCCATCAGCAGTCACTCTGGGACAATATAGGCTCACATGGGAGTTATAGGACCTATGTTAAATGCTAGAAAGACTGGGATATTTATTAAACTGATAGATTAGCTGTAGGGAGATGGCTTACATGATTCATGGTGTAAACATACAATTTTTCAGTAGGTAGCAAAATGTAAGAGGGAAACATTTTCCTGTTTTTTTAATTTTGTACGTTGAATACTGGGCTGTGATGTATGCATGTACCCATGTAGAGCCTAAAATTTAACCCAAGGCTAACACTCATGAATATGAACTGGCTTTCTCCTTCAAAAGCTGTCAATGTGGGTCTAATGCTTAGAGTACGACGAGTGCAGAAGCACCTACACATACAAATAATGCACTTAAGAGCACTGAAAGGCAAGATCTTAATCTGAAGAAAAAAATTATGTYTCTCCAATGTGTCAGAATTTCAAAAGTAATTGTGAAATCTGACAGGGCTGCCAGTGATTCTCTTAAAGCCTCTTTATAGCCTCTCTTAAAGGGGCCTTGGGCTGATTCATGTTGATTGTGCCTGACAGATAGCATTTCTGTTAATAATAATCATAAATAAAGCGGACAAGGTTGCCTGACCTGAAATGAGCATATCTATAGTGCCATATCCATTACAGCACAGTGGATCTGTGACCACAAATCAGGAAAGGTCCAATGCTCTTGACAACCCATATTAAAATAATATCCATCTTTTAAGAGCTCAGAACCTTTGTACCGTTTATTTTTCATTAAAAGCTATTCCTTAGGAGAGATTATTCAGACTAGAACAAACCTATTGAAGAAGATACTGTATACCAAATCATACATGAACCAAACATGAAGCATCCTAAACATGGMGCATACCAAACCATAACATTTTCCTGTTTATTATGCAGTAAAAATAGGTTTGTGAACAACTGCATTCTCCCTTGTATCTCAGTTCCTCCTTCATATTATTCTGCATTGAAGTCATAATCCTGGTTTTATGCCATCATAAATCTGCTGACATATACTATTATCAAACACATCAAAACAGAATTATGATTTCGCTGCTGCAAGCCCAAATGCAAACAGGGACTGGGTTATAAGAAAGTGAAGGCTTATTAGTTCCTGGACTTGATGATAAAGATATAGAAGGCAGTAAAGACAGTTTTTAAAATCTGTGTAAAATCTCTGGTTGTACTTACACATAAACACATGTAAGACACATTCATAACAATACAAGGCCGCTCACTAAAGCCAAATATGAAAAATAACACGCACACTCTCCCCATACCTACGTCAGGTTCAAGTGACAGACTGAGTTAAGAGAGACGTGCTGGAAAATCCCTTGAGGGATGTCAACGTGCTTGGCTATGCTGAGGCTCCCCAGGCAAGTCCCAAGGACACGGATCCACCACTAAAAGCCTGTCACCCCAGAGAGTCAAATCCAACAGCTGGATACCTGCAACATTGCTAGCCAGGCAAAGAGCAATTAAAACACATGAGAAGTTAGAATAATGAGGCCAGTTTGGCAGCCAAAACCCAGGGAAAACACTAGCTGAAAATGACATGGTTTGGTGAAAAAGACATGGCATTTATGTCAGATCTTATGTAGCAGCAAAAAAGATGACGAAGCTTAGACTCYGTATTTTCCTTGCTAAGGAAAGTGTCCCGTTTGCCTCATCACTCTCTACCTTCATGTACCAGCACAGCAAAACAACCCAGCATCAGTACAACACCAGACAGTACATTAGTCCTATGCCAGGACTAGCCCAAGGGAAGGCCTCTCCTCTCCAGCAGTGTCCTTCAGACCACTGGAAGAGTGATGAGAAAGCTGAGTTTCCAACAGTCCTCTTTTCACACCTTCCTTTTTCATAGGCAGTGACAAAATATTCAGTCCCAGAGAGGGGCTATCAAAGGCCAAGGCTTGTGAGCCAAAATAAAATGCTGGTATGAAGAACAACATTGCAGATTTGAAACCCTTCCATAAGCACAATGGCTTTCCTCATGTATATCCTAGTCTCAATATGATATGAAAGCAGAGAGAAGTAATATGAAACAACTAGTTTATAAGCATAAGAACAAACGAATCACAGTCTCTTATTGATCTGGGTTTGTGGATGATGGACTTTGAAGTCYAAAGAAGATGCAGGCTCTGATTGTAGCTTTTCCAGGTATTTTTGTACGCATTTTCCTGGGAGATGCTTTCAATTTGCACAAATATCTGTGCAGTTGTTCCCTTATTTATATAATTATTAATACAATTTATTATTTATAAATTATTGGGGAAAGTAGGATCCATAACTCAAAAGACAGCATTCTATGAGGCAGGAATACCATGTTGCAAAAGGCCTGGGCTTAACTCTGTCCCATCTTCCAGTGTGGGTAGTGAGAAGGAACCGAATGGTGGTTTCAGCTGCCAGGCATCTTTGTGCCTTTGGGCATCCAGACAGCACAAGCACAAAGGTGAGCAAGAAGAGATACTACTGCTCAGAAAGACTCGTTGTTGCTGAATTGCTTGTGAACCTGGAGAGCAGCACCTGGAGAGAGTCCACAGTGCTAAATAAAAACAATAGCATTTCAAATACCTCACAGAAAGCACCTTTCTGRAATTAAGTAAGAAGAATGTTTGCATAAATAAATCCTAAAAGCAGCTCTCATTACCAACAGTAACCAGCTTTATGGACTATTGTGTCAATGTAAAATAAACTTGGGTGAAATGGTTCAAGCAGAGACTCCAATGCAAAAACAATGCAACCCACATAGGATCAAGCTATGGAGACACTTTGTGTCTCACAATTCGGAGACACTTAGCCCTGGCCTCGTGTCTCTGTTCCTAGATGCAGTTCACACAGAATCAGTCTTAGAGCTGGCCTCCCACGCAGGGGGCAGCCAGCCCTTGGACCTGTGCTGCTCTCCCGCCCCACCACAAGCTTACCCGCGATCGATCGCTTCTTTGGAGTTTTGAGGCTTCGGCACCTGCCGCTAGCGGAGCTGCTGTTCTCACTCATAGAGTCTTGTGCTGAGGAAGCACTCCCCGTGGCCTCACTGTCCCTCATCATGCTCTCGTAGCCACTGCTCCCCCCACTGTGGTAGAAAAGGGCTGTTTTCCCCATGGCTGGGGGCAGCTCCCCGCTCAGGACGCTGCTGTTGTCACTGCCGTGGCCGCTGCTACAGCGGTGAGGTTTCCGAGGGGGAGTGATCTTGCTGTAGGGCGAAGGCAGCACGTGAGCAGCTGGTTTCTCCTCTCCRTGAAGACCCCCACGCTCGTCTGCCTCGGAGTTTCCACGTAGCTGCAAACCCCTCGCAYTTGTGCTCCCTTGGAGCAGTTCTGAGATTCGTCCATTAACAGCTCGAAGAGGCAGTTTGGAAGCAAGGCTGGAGCCTCGGTTTCTGCTGAGGGACTGCGTTGACCAGGACATGTTCTTGCCACTTGGAGGCAAGCTGGAACTCTGTCCCACGGACTGAGGCAGGGATTTGGTGGAAAAGCTGAGTGTTTTGGTGGCAGAGGCAGACAGGCTCCGGGCTTTGGGACTTGCCAACAGGAGCTTGCTGACTGCAGAGATCTTAGACTGGCTGGCTTTTGGGGAGGCTCCTGCGGACTGAGAGAGACCCGAGTTGGTTGGGGAGGACATGACACTGCGGCTGAGGCTCCTTCCTGCCCTAGGCATGGTGGTGTCTTTGCCAGGGCTCATTTTGGAGCTCACAGAGGACAGACTTTCTGCTCTCTCCAGTGACAAACACTCATAGTGGCTCCCGGTGGACCTCCCAAGGGAGTTTGTCCTGCTGGCAAGCTGYTCAAGTTTGGCACTGAATAACTTGCTGCTGCTGCTGCTGTCAGTGCCAGGGCCCTTCTGCTTGCCATTCAGCTCATCAGGAAAGCTTGCCAGGAAAGCCACGGGCTGGCTGGAGGGACTGCTCGTGGTGCTGCTGGCAGCACTGTGCTGCGGGCTGGCTCTGTTCTTCTGATCCAAGCTGGACTTTCTCACTGGAGGCAGCGGAGGGGTCCCTTTGGGGCGAGTGAGGACACAGTGCTTGGGAGAGGCCATTTTTCTCTCTAGGCTGGCCTTAGAAAACTGGTGAAGGGCAGGAGAGCTGATACCGTTGTTGTCAATGGCAGCAGGGTGCAGAACACCCTCAGGCTCCTCCAGCTTGCTCGCCTTTGGGAGCCCTCGAGGGAGGCTGTTCTTCAAACTGTCAGCGGGATGAACAGGGCTCTGGGTTGCAGAGCCAGGAGCCGCCATCTCGCACCCATCCACGATCCTCTTCAGGCCGTCAGAGGCTGGGGAGACAGAGGCGTCCCCACTGCTGCTGCTACTAAACCTGTCTGTGGAGGTCTGCTTTGTGCTGGGCTCAGGCTTGGCTGAAACTGTGTCAGGCTTTGGGTCATCACTRCCTCCAGAACTGTCCTTTTTTATATCTTCTTCTCTTTTTAGCCAAGGGTCTTCAAATTTGATATCCTTTTTAGCACTAGATTCTTTCCTTTCATGGGACTGAGTAACTTTGGGGTCTGGAGCTACTGCCGATACAGCATCATCAGTGTCTTGTGCTTTAAATGGATTAACAGCAATACAGGGATAAACAGTGATGTTTGTCTTCATTGGGATGTAGCCCTCACAGCTGCTGAGGCTTGCAGTGTTCTTGATTGTTACCRTCGTCTTCCCTAGAGCTGATATTTTGCAGCCTTTGATGGGTGGCACTTTGCCGAAGGCGTCCTCGTCCCTTTCTGTCAGTATGAGCATGTTGTCCGTCACTGGCTTCTGTCTGTCATTCACACAAAGCATGCTGGCACCAGATATGGAGCTCACACACTCGGGCAGCGGGGGCTCTGCCATGGCTTCCCCGTGGCCGTAGCACGCCTGGGCTATGAAGCTGTGGCACGACTGTTCCCCATCRCTCCCTGTGCTCATCTCACTCAGCCACGAGCTGATGGATGAGCGCCTGCTGCCATCGTCCTGGGATTTGTCATCCAGGCCCAGTTTTGGAAGCGGAAGGAACTGCGTGATGCTGACCTCCGACACAGGAGCTGCACTGGAGTAACATTCAAGGTCTTCACTGATGCTGCTGATAATGCTGACTGGCCTAGACCCAGAGGCCAAGGCCTGCACCGAGCAGTCACTGTTAAAACTGATGATACTGGTTGGGCGCCCATTGTCAAGGACCCCACTAATGGTTAGTTCTTCTACAAGGGTGAACACCAGCTCATCCTCTCCATTCAGCTCTAATGGCTGCTGCACAGTCACCATGGTGGTGCTTAAAATCTCCTTTTTGGATTCCAGTGAAATGTTTTGTTGCTGGTCTTCATCAAGAATGGTCTCTTCAAATTCTCCATTGCTGGAAGACATTGACTTCTTCATGATTTGTGGGCTCATTCCTACAGGAGGGGTCCGGATTTCTGGCTGCAGCGAGGGTTCACTAGACCTCACCCCAGCATCCTTACTCAAGGGAGTTGGCGAGGGAATGGGGCTGGGCAGAACTCCTTTCTGTGTATAGACTTTGCATCTCTGCGAAGGAGAAGTTGGTGGCTTGTACTCAGATGTCTTGGAGAGGCTTGCAATGCCAAGTCGGGGCGAACCCATTGGCCTAGGTTTGCCTTCCACAAAGCCACAGCTGTTGAGACTTTCTCTGCTGCTCTGCAAGCTTGTGCTGTGTGCTAGCTGGGAGGAGCTAAGCTCTTTACTAGAGCTGCCTGTTATACTCCTGGGAGAAGAAGGAGTTGAAATGTTAGTGAGAGCTCCAGAAGGAACAGGGGAGTGATTTCTCTTAGTTTTGCTGGGTGTTGCATTTATATTTTCCCTGGCTTCTCTCTCAGGATGCTGACATTCTGGCATGGTATCTTCCTTATCTGACTCTGGTAAGTGGCTAAGCTCTGCCAGTTGGCTTGAAACAGAGCACTTAGACATCTGGTCTGAACTAAATTGAGCAGGCATCTCTTCAAAGGGAAATTTGTTAGTCTCTTCACTGCCATCTATGCAATCCAGCCTCTCCTGGAGCTCTGCAAAGGTGTTGCACTTCAGGCAGTCTCTTTCAGATGTGCTGGGTCCCGATTCACAAACTTCCTCTAACCTGCCCTCATTTTTGGTCTTCTGCAGTGCAGGAACTATGGGAACAAAGTCAGGAGGACCCTCATTATCTGTCAGTTCCTTATCAGAAAGGGCAGTGCCATTGGGGCCAACATAAATCACCGTGTCACAGGACTGTTCGCTGCTGGATGAATAATCAGGGTCACTTGATAGATGCAAAATAGGGAAGTCTGGATCCACAGCRTTCCTAGAATGGAAGGGCCTCAGTTGTGTTGGCCTCCGCATCCTGCCTTCCTCGCAAGAGCTCTCTCCTCCAGAAGAACTGGACGTGTACTGCAATATGTGAGAGAGACAAAGACCACAACGTTTCAGCATTTCAAAAGGCAACTTGCAAGAAGCACATGTGCAAAAGAGCTACAGTTGCATCTAAAGCTTCTAACCAGAGTCTAACAGAAAACACAGCACAGAATAGTTCAAAATATAAACCAATGCTACAGCCCTTAATGTCCCATTTTAAGAGTCATAAGACTTCCTAAAAAAGTACTGAATAAATGGATGAGGATCTGTCCTTTAATCAAGGCTGAATAAAGAAATCAGACCTCTGTCAAAAGTGTTATTGKTTTTTTTTTGTGCATGTTTGAGTGAAAAGGCACAAGAAAACATATATATAAGAGGGAGAAAATAAAGACAGTTGCCTTTTGGTCCTGGTAACAGTAAGTCAAACTGAATATATACACACAGTTCTCTTTGGACACACCTCTGTGATGCTGTGTAGACCTTCACTTGTCTCTGTTAAAAGTTTTTCTCAATCCATAGGTCATCAATTCAAGCCAAGCAATCCAAGCCAAGCAAAAATTCACTATTTGAACCCAATTTATAATGTAAGTTACACAGAAGGAACCAGGACTGCACAAATGCAGAGCCCAGTACTACTCCACTTTTTCAGAAATCTACCACCCAGAAGCAGTGGGAATAAAATGGGCAACAGTGCCAGCATGGACATGCTGCTTTGCAGTTATTTTGCTCCTGCTGTCTCTGTCAAACAGAGAAAATCTAAGTCTTCATTAAGCAAAAAATTCCTTCAACTTTAAAGCAGCTTCATTCCTTACTATTTCATCAGCATTAAGAGCATAACTGCAAATWAATGCTGTCTGACAGGCATATCACTAAACAAGGTCAGCTTGCAAACCTGATACAACAGATATGCTTGAACTTACTCCTCTGTAACTGAGGCTGCAGCATTTGTCTCCTTAGTCTCTGCTGTGTGCTCCGAGCCACTCGCCTAGGACAGTTTACATACAACCCATTCACTTGGAAATTATGATTATTGATTTTGTTGTATGCTGCTCTACCTCATTAAAGATCCTTCAGGGTCCTTCTCCCTCCCTCCTCYACTGCTACGAAGAAGTGAGTTACACACTGCCTTACCTTGGTTTTCTTTTTCTTCATCCTGAGGACCCTTGATGCAATCTGGAKGGTGGAGAGTGTCTCGGCGTAGTTGCCCGCGGCAGCTGAAATGTGAGCTATCATCGTGGTGCGGCAGTTCATGTTCCCCAAGGACTCCCGAAGCAACATGGTGAGCTTGCTGTCTCTGCAAAACAAAATGAATTAAGGCTACATTAGTGAGTGAGTGAGGCTTCACTTGGACCGTTGTGACGTGACATGGGTCTCAGCAAGGTTTTTTTCCTCCTCTTTTTAATGGAATCCTAATTAGTTTCATTCCTCAGGTTTGTGCGTTGTGTCTGCTGCTGAGCAAGCTGAAAGACCCTGGATTACAATTTAAGCTGTGTTTCTCTTCCCAGGTCCTCCTCTCTATCCTTTTCCAGGCTCCTTTCTTCAGCAATGTTACCTCTGTGAATACATTTGAGACTAACTGTTAAGGAACACTCCATGAACCAGCAAACTGATGCACTTTCCCTTTGGAGGCAAAGTAAGCAGTGTACGAGTATACTCTGGTCTAGCTCTGGAGGACAGAAGTGTACTGGACTACTTAGAGGACCCTTTTTTTTTTCTTGCCTACCTAGCCACTGAGTAAATCAGTAATTATACTGCTTAAGTCACTTGAATTAATCCTGATGATAGTGGTGAAAATCAGAACAAATGCAACTTAAGATTACACATCTTTGTTTTTTCATATTGCATTTTTCTTCCACTAAGACAGGAATAWTTTTATTGATTTTTCCCATTTATTCTCTTGTTCAGAATATGTTATCTTTTAAAACACTGATGCCTTATGGTGGGAGTGGCTGTGGTGGCAGTAAGAATAGGAATTGCCAAACAGGACAATTTTAGCAGGATAATGATACCTATACATCACTTCTGTTGTGGTCATCTTAATCTGGTAGGTAGAAATGCACATGCAGTTTTTAAAGGAATCATTAGTTATGCTGTGGGTGTTGACATACCTCTTGAGAGTCCTCTTGAGGAAGGCTGTTGATAAAACTGCTGGAAGCAAAGCCAGCAATAGCCTGATATCTACCCCTAGCTAAAGGAACTGCATTCACTCTTCCAATGACAGAAATTTAGGCTTTCAGTCTTGGCAACACTGTCAGTGGCTTGGGATCAGATTTTGGGGGCTCACAGTTCAGTATTTGCTGATGACCATGTAAGCGTCTGTGCTAAGACATCCACTTAACCCTCCCAGTTCATGGGAACTTTTCACAAAGTTCCAACTTCTGTGAACTGAATCTATCTCTACTGGACAGGGCTGACAGATGAACATCACAATTCTTGAACTTCTCCCTTTGGCTGAGTACACAACAGCATTCTTGGATGCATCCAGGAATGAGACTYGATAGCTCATAAACTGCACTTCTCCTGAAATTCCCAGTACTTGTGGTTTAAGATAGGCTGGAAATACCGAGAGGAACCCATCCTCTCTGCCAGGATTTCTACTTCCTTCGACTCTGGACACACAAGATTGTCTGCTGGCTTTGAGACACAAACAGCCTCACTTATTTCCCTTGCAGCTTTAAGCTGTATTGAACCCACAGATCCAAAGTTAATAGGCTGCTGTATCATGGTTTAGTGGCCCCCTTCCTATCAAAGAATAATTAAGATGTCAAATTTTGTACATCAGTTACTGCCACTCCAATGCAGAGTTACATGGAAATTATTAACATCTGCACAGAAATCAATAACAAGCCTCTCATTTGCTAGTGCTTCTATCATAGCAAAACATGAGACGACAGGGGAGAGGGCAAAAGAATACATTGCAAACATGCAGGGCTCCTGGGAATCCATAACCCGGGCAGCCGGCACCAGCAAACCGCGCCGTCGCTCTCCTACAGATATGTGCATTAGGAATATAAAATCATCTGGGCCATCTGCCCTGTACCGAAATACACATTTGCAACAAGAATGATGATACAGAGGAAATTCTATCATTCAGACGATTCTCAGACATAAATCAGATAGAAATTGAAGGGCAGGTTTCTTAAGGATTCAAGCCTGAAACTCAGCAGCCAAAAAGGCCCAAGCGACGCTAATTTCCAATTTCACAGTTTCTCCTTCAGCACTGTCTGCATCTTGACCATCAACCTCACTTTGCACCCAGACAGAATAACTAGCCTCCTGTCACTACTGTCAATTGAAAACTTGAATTAATAGGATGGAATCTGCTAGTTACCATTTTTTGTTGATTCTGGACATTGTCATAAGATATGTTCACCTGTCTCTAAGATTCACCAGTCTCTTATAATAACACTTAGTAACTTGCAAAGGAAAGAAAGCAGGTCAGAGAGCCTAACTCAAGTACAGGGCTTAGGAACTATCAGATTTTAACTCAACCCATCCTGAGCAAGTAACATCACTGCTAAAAGATTTCGGACATGTCTCACTGAAATGTGCTTGACACACAGTGTGGGACACAAAATAGAAGCTTTGTTCTTCTGAATGCTGACAGGGCATTTCTGCCTGAAAAAAAAAGGAAAGGCTCTGAATTGTCTCATTATAGAAGATGAGCTAATATTGGCAAAAGCAAAATTTCCTGCAGAAATAGAAAGCAAGGTTACAAAGAGAAAGTCTAGCCCAGAAGAGCTTTGGGAAGGAAGACCTTTGCTGATCTGACTGAAAGAAATAAACTAAGGCCCAGGAGCTGGTGAAGAAGCCCCCGGCAGGGCAGCTGCTGCCGGGCGCAGGCTGAGCAGGGACGGGTCTGTCCCTGCTGCGCAGCCCGCAGCATTTACCACAGCAGCAGAGGCAAAAGCACCAGCTTCTTCAGGAGCCMATTTCTGTGGGAATGCTGTAGCACACGGGGAGAGGAGACAGCAAGCGATGCAAACGATCTGCTTCCTTTCTGTGCCCAGACAAACAAAGTGCCATGTCAGAGCAGCCTGATTACCCCATTCTGTATACCTGTCTTCAGTTTCAAATGCCCTTATGTCCCATATAGTAATGTCTCTCTCGTTTGGGAAATTTGCCACCATGCATCATGAACACGGGACTATCACATACAGGGAAGAGGGAAAGGGACAGAAGGATGTCACCTTTCCATATCTTGCCTGGCTTTTATACCGGCAAGCCCACTCTGAACCTTCACAATACCTAGAAGTTACCTAATCTAACTAACTACAACAGTTGATCTAATAAAATATATCAGCCTTGCTCACAATCCTTCCTCGCCTAGCACCTTAGATCATCACAGTTACAGCAAAATACTACTAAATATTATCCACAGACCCTCACATAAAAAGGACCTCCAAATAATCTCCGATGTACTGGGACCAGTATAAATAACCTTCCTCTCGCTTTCTCTGTAAGAAGGAAAACTGTACATCACTCTTCATATCTGCATTTTCTCTCTTCATGAACGACTAATTATACTCAGGTTCAAACAACACAGAATCTCACATTAGAGGAATGAAGTGCCCAAGATCACAGTATGTTTACTTGCACATTGCCTAAATCCCATTTGTCTATATGCTTTAAGTCAAAGTCTTTAATTTCATGACTGAATACCTTTTTTTTCCACTATGCCTCTGCCTCAAYCAGCACACAGGACAAACAGGGCTTACTGAACAAGAAATTATTCGTTTTTTCATTTAATGTGTGGACTTGTGCCTTTTGTGCATTACAATTAGATAAACTCAGCTCTGAATCCAGAAAGACCCATTTCTTCAACAGCTTTTCTTTCTGTGGAGCTTGTTAATACAAGACAGGTGATGAATGTCTGCGAGGTGAGGTATRTAATACCCTGATAATTCCTGAAGTGCTGAAGACTCTATTAAGTTTAGATGTTTGGTGTGAAGCACTGATCTTACAGAGTGCTAAGCATAAATTATACAGAATTTTATATTCATAGTACAGCTTCCTTTGACTTCTCTTGCAGGATTTTTGGCCAAGCTCTTTGTACACCCAACCTCTCAATCATGTTTCCTCCAATCAGTGTCTAGGCCAGGCTTTTCCCACCTGGTGTTCTTCCTTGCTCTCATTCCCATGCCATGCTTTTCTTCCCTAGCTCTTTACTTCAACAGCCCAAAACCATTTCATTCTGCTAGGGCTGCTAGGGTCTAACCAAAACTTCACCGCTCTCAGCATTATTTACAGCCCCTCTGCCAGAACCAGCCTCCTGTCTCTTGACCTCTTCTTCCAACCAATGTCCTCTACTGGCACTGCCTGACTTCCAGGTCAGACTCCCTCAGTCCCCTCAGCTACCGAGCTGCTACCTCACTGCTACCGAGCACAGGGACCCAGTATCCCCCATAACTTGTATAAACCAACTGCATCGAGGCTGCGGGAGCGAGGTGCAGGCAGAGGTGAGGGTATGGGTATGTAGCTAGTGTCTCCCCATATCTTCCTCTGGCAGGTCCTTCKGCTTTATGTGAATCGGTGTTGGCAATGTATGCCAGATTCGTTGTACAGAAAAGCCACAAACAACAATTACTTTTGTGTTAGGCAGTAATAGAGAGTTCAGGAACAGAACAAGAAGCAGCAAGACTAAATATTATGCTCAGGAAGAAATGTTATGCAGTTTTCATTGCTCAACATTTCATTTTCTGTAAGACAGAGGCAAATTCAGGACAGTTTCCCAAATGGTGAGAATACTGAGGAGGAAGAGCTGACTGGAGTCTCGGAGCCGTTGTTTTTCTGGGGTATTATTTAATCAATCTGTTACAAGCTTTGTCTTGGGAGGGAGGAAAGTTTCAATCTTATTTAATCACATGTAGTTTTTTATGTTCCCATTCCTCACTCCACTGCTATGGGGATTCTGGGCCACAGTGACAAAAGCAGGACCATCAGGTACAGAAATAATAACACTCCCCATGGGGCATAATACAACATTACAACTAAGCTTTATGAAATGCAAGGGTGTATGTTAGTGCTCTCTGTTAATCATCTACCTTGGTGTCTTCCTAGGCACTTAGCCAAGGGGAGAATGTTGTCAACTTCCTCATGGTGCTATTGTTACACGGTAAGATAATGTATGCCCTCAGGTATCTCATAATCTAATTATTTATAGAGATATGTCAAGTGAAAAATCCCTGGAACTACACCAGTTATTTTTTTATCACGAAGCCCTAACTCTGCTCCTTTGCTCTGATACACTGCTTTATTAGGAGCAATAAATGTTTACATAGTGGGAGAACCATA